CATCCAGATTGATTCTGTGGTTTGCGAGATATCACATCCCAAAGTTACCAGATATTTTTTTTATTTTCCTGTTTTTTTCATTTTTAAGCAGATTTTAATCTGAAAATTTGTTAACAAAATCTGTGATTTTCCGTAACTAAAAAACTGGATTTTTTCTTGATTTTTGTCTTTTATTTTTTTTACAGGGAGACAACTTGAATCTTTCAATTATCAGTAATTTCATTGACTAGTACTGTCACTTCAAAATCTCAGAGCTATTCTACAGAATCTTGGTCTCTACCTTTGTATTTTCAGATTTGGATAATTATCTTTTTATTATTTCTATGATTCAGTGAATTGACTAATTCATCAATTGCATTAATAACTGCTTCAGTGGTCATTGGGATTATTTCGAAATGGGGTACTGAGAAATCAGAATATGTGCTGAATTTAGGTATAAAGTTGTAACTGTCAGTAAAGAAATGATTTATTTTAGTTGCTTCTATGTTGCTAGTTGTCTTAGAATAGAAGCTATTAGATAAATCAGGATCTTCTTTGAATTCTTAATTGAGAAAGTCTTCAAGTATTGTTTTAACTAGGAAGAGTTGGTGTTCAACTGTATGTTGATTTTGATAGATCAAGGTGTTTAATAGTCGAATTACTCATCTTCATAGTTCTTCTCTTTCAATAGTATTAGGATCTACTATAATAATATCTTCGAATAATTGTTCAGTGATGAAAGATTCAGATATTGCATCTCGTTCTTGGATCTAGTTGAGAAAATTGGCTAGGGATTCAGTTGTTGTATCAGAAGATGAAAAGCAAATATGACAATAATATTGCTGAGTTATTCGAAGAATTGTTTCTCGATGTTGATTTTTTAGATAAGTGTTGAGATGTGCGATAGTAAATTCTCTAATAAAGTTATAATAATCATTCATAAAGAGGATTTTAATTAAGAGTTAAAATATAAATATTCACAAAGAGATTATAAAAAGGGAATTTGTTTTTGGTAATTGGTTTTTAAATAAAGTAAGAGGGTTAATTAAATGATTATGGAAGAAAAAAGAGATTCGATAATTTGAGAAATTCACAAAGGGAGCACCAAAATATGCTATAGTTACTTTAAATAAAGAGTTTTTCACTATTAGTAAAAGAGTTATATGAGTTGAGAGAGAGGAATAGACTAATAAAATTGATTAGTACAAAAATAAGTATCTAAGCCTGTGCCAATTTTGACAGAAATTGTTAAATAATTCTATTAAAAATAAAAAGAGGAGTTGGAAGAGTGTGTTCTGAGAGATAATTGATAAAAAGGAACTACTAACTAAAGAAAAGAATATTGATATTTCTATACTTGTAGTTATATAATCTAGTACTTTCAATATCAAAGAAAATGAATAACTAAAAGAAATATTACTTATTTAGAGTTATAGTACACAATTATACAAATCAATATCACTTATTTAAAGTTAAAGTGTACAACTATATCAAAAATAATGCTATAGCAAATCAATATACTTATTCAAAAATACTTAACCATCTTTTTCAAATTTAAAGACAAAAGTAATAATCAGAAATTCAATTTTACACAAATCAATATTTGATTTCTTGATCTTGCTCAAAATTTATGAAAAGTGACTTGAATTACAAGATTTGAAGTTCAATTAACAAATTATTTTTGTCAGGTAACTTGTTTTGACAGAAGAAGATACAAGAATAAATATTAATTTTATATCAATAAAAGGATTGTTAACTTATTGTATTAAGATTAAAATTTATTAATTTATTTAAGTATTGAAATATGAGATTGATACATGGGAGAGCACTCCTATTTATACAAAATTTGTCAATACATTTTAACTCTATTTACGTTATAAAATTATAAAAAGATATGTGTAAAAAGTAGAAAAGGTAAATAGAAAAAGGTAAAAAAGGTAGAAAGTAAGGGTAATAAAGGTAGAAAAGGTAAATAATGAAGGTAGAAAAGGTAGAAAAGATAAATAACAAGAGTAAAAAAGGTAAATAATAATAATAATTATACAATTATTAAATAATTGATATGTATATATTATTTTTATTGATTTATTATTTTGTTACTATTTTTAAAAATTTTTATATTTTCTACTATTTTTGAAAGATTTGTTAATTATGGAATCATTAAAAATAATTGTAACAATATAAAAATTATTATAGTGCAAAACACTTAAAATGCTAATAAAATTAGTTATCTTTAAAACAAAGAATCTTTATACAAAGATTATACAAAAAAAAAGATCGTTATTTTGTAGTAAATAGATTTAGCTACAAAATATTGGTCCTCTTTTTTTTGTATAATCTTTGTATAAAGATTCTTTGCTTTAAAGATGACTAATTTTATAATATCTTTAAGTATTTTACACTATACAAATACTAATTATAATATTTTTTATAAATTGATAAAGCTTTTATATTGTATATTATATATTCATAAACTTTTAGATATCAGTTATTTCATAATACATATTTTAATATTTAATGATCTAAATCTTGATATCTAGTAATTCAATTTAAACAAAAATATTATTATTCAATTTATTTAATTGAAACAAATTAAACAGTATTATTTTTGTTCAAATTATATTATTAGATATTAAAATATTGTATTTTAAAGTAGCAAATTCATTTTTTTGGCATTAACAAAAATTAATTAACCAATTTAAAATATAATATCTTTATTTTTAATAATTTAATTTAAACAAAAATAATATTATTTAATTCATTTTGATTAAATAAATTGAATGATATTATTTTTGTTTAAATTATATTACTAAAAATTAAAATATTACTAGTGAACAAATTTCTTTGATTCCAGCTTTTTGAGATAAATAACAAAAGATAAACTATAAATATTACTAATACTAGATAAATATATCTTCAACATTGCTGATTTTCAGATTCAATAGATTTTTCAGTATCTTTGTAGCCAATTATTATTATAATTATCAACAATATTGCAGACTTTCCAAACCAGTAAATTTTTCAACAAAAGCAGCAAATTCCTATTATAATTATCAACAATACTACAGATTTTTCAGTATTGTTGCAACAAATTTTCATCATAATTATCAATAATGCTGCAGTAGATTTTTCAGCAAAATAGCAATATAACATTGTTAATTTTCTTGATGCACAGATAAAATAATAGGTTTCTCTTTTTGGTATACAGCATGACCTTCTCCACACCTGTTTTTGTCGAAATACAGCATTTATCATTAATTTTTAGCATTCTCTTCAGCATTTGTCATTGCCTTAGCATCTTTAAGCATCTCCTCATCATCTTTTAGCATCTCTTCATCATCTTTTAGCATCTTCTCATCAACTTTCAGTGTCTTTTCATCATTCTTTGACATATCTTCATCAGTTTTTGATTTGTCTCACATCAGTTTCTTTTATAGATATTAAAGTATCCATTATAAACATTTTTATTAATAGCTAAAATAATATTACAAATAACAAATGCCATAATACAAAAAAATGTATAAAAGAATAGTTTACAGGCTACTAATAAAGAACATAATTCACATTGCATATAATTGTTCTCTAAGCAAATTAAACTTGAATTATTGCATATGATTATTCTCCCCTTAAGTAAATTATCACTTGTAAAACTCTCTCTCCTCCTTTCCCACATTAATTGCTATATATCAATTGTCGGTTACCAGAAAAGGCATTGATTTCATGGAAAATGTGAAATCGTATTATTATTGAGAAATTGTTTTGGTATAATCGTTACATTATTTTTAAGAGTTTAAGGCTTTTGTATAGAAAAAGCAACGATTGTTGTTAATATTTTTAAGAGTTTAAGGCTTTTGTCTATAAAAAGCAATAGTTAAGAAATCCCCTGAACAGGTTCTAGATACCGAAACGAATATTGCTCAGTCTATCGATCTCTCCCAAAAGTCTTGTCGCGTTAGAAATCTCTAATTAATTGAAAACAAATCTACCAAAATAAACCCGTCTTCCACATCTACTTTACAGCCCGTCCCGTAAAAGAGGTAAATCCGATACTAAAGGCTGGGAGTTTTTAGAGGCTATTATCTCAATTCGTCCCAACTTAACAAAAGCGCAACACTACGTCCTAAATTGACCGATTTATTTTTTTGGCGATCAATTTCTAACGCTAATGAAAAATCAATCGACAAATATGAATCGGTCACTTTGGGACATAATATCTCGACGTCTAGTGGTCCAATTTGAGTGAAAATACCACCATTTGATTTGCCTAGATTAAGCAAATTGTATGGTATTATTTTCACTCAAATTAGATCATTAGACGTCGAGATATATGTCACAAAGTGACCGATTTATTGTATTTGGAGAAGTTTATGAACATACAATACCTGATATAGATCTATAAAAGGTATCATGATCAGCATTTGTGCTCGGAAAAATTTGGTGCATTATACATGTACATGTACATGATCTACTAAAAGTTAGAGTGGAGGTCGGATACTTTTGCGGTTGACTGTTTTTCCAATGTTGTTACACGTAACAGTCGTTATCGTTATACATCTAATTGGATTTATCCTTAATATTTTTAAATTTATTGCATATTACATGTAATATGTATTATACATGTACCTGTAGTATTGGTATGTTCCCATTTACTAAGAGAATAGGGTTAGGGTAATGGGCACTAAAATTTTAAGGTCATATTTTCAGTTCCCACGACCGCTACGTACTATTAAAATGCCATAACGCTATTTATAAACCCAATTTTAACTTTAAATATTTTGTTTTCAAGACAATTCCATTAATAAAAAATATTCTCCATGAAACTATAACGATAAGCCTCTGATTGTTGAAATTTTTCAGCAAAATAATTCACTATTGATTTTTACATATGTCAATTATTCAAATCCACAGAATAAATGTGAACTTGGAAAAATAAAATTAACAAAACTAAGAATAATCTGTTATCATTTCATACGATGATATAACAAATTACATAAGAAAATGTAGAAAAAGAATATTCAAAACTAATTAGCTGTTTGCTGCTTTTTGGCAATATGAAAGACTTCAAACTCATCTACTGAAAAATTTTTCAAGCTCGCGGTTGGTCTTAAGGAAAGTTCATAATTATTAACAGTTTGAACGCAGTAACTCGATTCCTGATTCTTAAAATCCCCCTCGAAAGAAAGATCAGAACCGAAACGAGGTCCATTAGTGGCGCAGCAATAAATAGCATTATCCTGATTTCCATTCTTTACGCGACTAACGACTGCGTTTCTGTCAACAAGCGAGAGAATAAAACTATCTGTTGTAGATTGATACTTTCCATCACAAAGCCAATTCAAAGGGTTATAACCACCAAGTATTTCATGGGTATCTTTAACTTTGGCTATTGTAACTGTTGCTCCTGTGTTATCACAGCGAGTGTGAAAAACTTGACCAGTAAACCCATCTTGACTGCCTCTCATCAAAAGTTTGAATTCATAAGGATTTTCAGATGCAAAGTAAGGACGCCATCCGAAAGCCGGTAATTCACGATTTCGATCAATCCAACTCGCGATAAGGGCTGCTTGTTTAGAAGAGATAATTTTTGAATCGATATTTCCTCGTCGTGCTGGCATAATATTCATTGCAGGAGATTGATTTGGAGCTAAGTGATAACGGAGAATACTACGAGCTAAATGGTTTGGGAGTATCTGTTGATAAGGTAAAACAAATTCACTGAATTGCTCTGACGAAATTTCAAAATAACGAATAAACGGCAAAGCTCGAGTAAGCGTGTTTTTTATGGCCTCAGATTGCTCATCACTCCATTCTGCAACATCGTCGGGTAAATCCGGATTATGTGCGCGTCCCCAATCAATTACTAAATTCCAAATATCGAGTTCTTCCATGCGAAGTTCTTCATTTTCTAAAAGTCGTAATAGTATTTCTTCTTGAAGAAATGCAAAATCTTCGGATCGAAATACTTTTTCGGGTTCTTTGAGAATAATATCCATACAAAAAGTTTGAAGTTGGCTGAAAGAGCTATGTTCGAAAGCAATACGACGAGTATAGGCAAAATTTTGTTGCAGCCATGCTTTTTTATTATCAATCAAATATTTTTGAATATGATCAAACAATTCATCCAGGCTGAATTCGTCTGCTGCAATTAGTATCTCGAGAATTAGCGAAGCACATTGTTGGTCAAGAGGGATTGTGGCACCGTAAAGATAGCTTGAATATTCAAACAAAAAGATGAATTAAGCATTAAGAATAACCCATAAAATACTTTAACGATTATTTACTTTAAAATGACCGAAAAAACATTTGGCGAAATATTATCTTTCTTAAATTTAATCATGCCCTTTTCAACGCTTGCCCAATCAGCGGACAGTGCTCGATCAAAATAGCTAGATCTAGCACGAAGGATTACGGAATGAGCACTAAAGATTTTTTTATTTGATTCAACACCTATTTCAACAACAACATCAAAATTGTCGGCTCTTTCGAGTAGTCGACTAAAATCTCTTGACATAAAATTAAGAAATTCAGGCTCCATTTTTGAAAAAACTCGATAAAGTCCAAGTCAATAATTGTACAAAAATTAAGTATACTCGTATATCATGAATACGCAAGTAATGATATTTAAAGGTTAACCTTTTTTTTGGAGTCTTTGTTCACCCTCCCCTTGTAAAGTACTTTCCGGGTTATGCACGGATATTTTTATGGTGCTATTTTTATTTATAGATTTGTATCACTTAATTAACAATGGCGAGAAAAGAGACTATCATCTACATATGTACATGAAGAATCTCTTCTAATTAAACAAAAGAACGGAATAATTTAATTATATTCTTAGCAATTCTTTATGCCATATTTAAAAGTAAATTAACAATGACGAGAAAAATAACAGCCTCGTCACAACATTTAAATAAACTTTAATTAAATTTGAATCAAGAAACTCATGTAATTTTTACTAATAATGAATCACTTCTAATTAAACAAAAGAACTGAATAATTTAATTATATTCTTAACAATACTTTATGCCATATTTAAAAGTAAATTAACAATGACGAGAAAAGAAACTCTCATCTATGAATTAGCATTAATATCTAGCCCAAGAATGGATAAATAAAAAAATAACCTAATTAAAATATCACCAAAGACTCTTAAATTACATAAAGGAAAATTACCCAAATATCCACAATTAGAAGAAGTCTTATCTGATTGGGTTAATAAACAGCGGCAATTACAAAATCCTGTAACTAGAACATTGATGATTACTGTTACCGAAGTAGCATTAAATTCTTCGATTCCGTAATTTTGATTCTCAATTTCTACATGAAAATCTTTCCATAACGACCTACATGAAAATCCCTCCGAAATTAGTTTCTTGTGTAAGTTCTATTGTAAACCAAATTTAGTTAGTAATAGATATTACCTTTTTCTTTTTTTATCGTTATTTATTTAAATCGAATTACGATCGTTTTTTTAATATAACGATCATCGAGAGGGAGTGTCGAACGATAGTTAATACACGTAACGGTAACGGTAACGATTATCGCGAGGATAATCCCGACAATCATCTGGACAATTGAAGAGCATCGACGAAATGTACGTAACGATAGTAACTGTAAAAAAGGGGATAACAATCGTCTGGACAATTGAAAGACAATCGAACAATTAGTGTTTAGTCGTGTTAAAAGAAACCATCAATGTAAATTACTAACCTTAGAATTAGCATAGGATTAGCGTAGTAATTCGAAATTGTATATAGAAGCGTCTTCAAGTCGCTGAGAAGACATGCTTTGATCGTGCTTTAAAATCGAATAAAAATAACAAAGTTCTTACTCGTAATAACAATATTATTTGTGAATACACTATTATTTTCTTTCGTTTCGTGATCAAACTTCAAACCTTGTGAGTGATTGCAAGTAGTGGATGCTCCTCCACTCTAAATAAGCCGTTGAATTCTTTTGAATTGTTATTTTGATTTTATTTTTCTTGAACAGGCCGTACCAATAAGTCCTGTTAAGTTGACTTTGTTTTCTTTGTTCAGGCCGTATCAATAAGTCCTGTTGAAATTAGTTTTGTTTTTCTTGGACAGGCCGTATCAATAAGCCCTGTCGGATCGTCCTTTTGTATTGAGTTTCTTTTTGGACAGGCTGTATCAATAAGTCCTGTCATATTCACATCAATTGGTGTTAAAAAATAAAAACTTTATTATAACGAATCGACTCTTATTACAAGAGTATTCTATCCTATCTATTCTTCAAATACCCCCCTCATCATTTTGAAAAGGCCGATTTGTGAACAAATCGCCACGGGAAACCTCTAGAAAAACCGGAGAGACCCTCCAACCGTAAATAATCCAGTTTAACTCCCACCCCGTTGCAGAAAGTTCCTTGAATCGATTGGTTATAACTACAATAATCTGGTGCCCAAACCATTGCAGAATAAGACCTTTCGGTGAATATTAGAAGGAACGCAACAGTGGTTGGAATTCATATACATGTATTTGCGTAGATCGCCACGTGCATAATGCATTACTATCGAGTATTCATTAGCATTAGCGTTAGCGTTAGTATCTGTATTTTTAGTTATTCCAAAATAACTAATATAAGTCCGAATCTAATTTACACTTAAGTGTTCATTTTACCTCATTTATAAACTCGGCTGTAATTTGCTTTGATTGTGTAATGATTTCAACACAACATCGCGTTTAAATTCATTTTCTTTGTGATCTCACGCGTAGTCATGCAACAATGCTTTATAAATTGATCCGAAACCTCCTTTTGCAAGATATTCAACATTTTTCAAAAGGGATCCATTCGAATTTATCATTAATTTCCGCGCATTCATTTATTAAACTGTCAATATCTTTATTTTCGCTAGATAATTTGATTCGTTTGTGGTAATCGATACATGGAAAGCAATATCTATTACATGTATGTTGACAAGTGTAACATTTACTACAATCATGAGTATTCATCACTATTGAGTATTCATTTGTAGCTGAGTTTTTAGTTATTCCACAATACTTTATATCGTTGCACTTTAGCACAGTCTGAATCTAATTTTGAAAAGTATTAGAAAGCAAAAAAGAAACTTGCTTACATGTTAGAAGTTGTTAATTTTACCTCGTTTCTAAACTCTGAGGTAATTTGCTTTGAATCACGTAATGATTTCAACACAACTCTATATTCTCCCCATCGTTTAAATTTATTTTGTTCATGATCCCACTTGTGAATTGGTCCGTCCAACCAGGTTGCCTTATAAATTCTTCCTGCTGGAAGATATTCAACATTGGTAAATCGTTCAAAAGGGATCCATTGGAAACGCGTATTGATGACCGTTAATTCTTTTGTTAGACCGTCGATATCTTTATCCTCGTTAGACCATTCAACTTTATAAAGTTGATAGTGATAATCGATGCATACACGGCAGTAATTCGATTCTTGACAATTAGTGCATTTACTACAATCATGATAATCCATCACTGTTGAGTATTCATTTGTTGCAGGGTTTTTAGTTATTCCATGATATTTAATATAGACACGAGTGCACTTTAGAGCAGTCTGAATCTAATTTTGAAAAAGTTAATTAGATTGAAAAACAAAAAAGTCATATGCTTACACTTGGAGGTGTTCATTTTACCTCTTTTATAAACTCGGATGTAATTTGCGTTGAATTGTGTAATGACTTCAACACAACTTCTTTGTCTTTGTTTCGTTCCCATTTATTCTTTACATGATCCCACTTTGAATCACTATACCTAGAGTTCAATGGACCGTCCAACCAGGTTGCTTTATAAATTGAACCAAAACCACCTTTTGCAAGATATTCAACATTGGTAAATCTTGCAAAAGGGATCCATTCGAAATGTTTATAGTCACCATATATAATATTTATACCATATATAATATTTTCACCAGCAATTCTGTCGCATTCATTTATTAGTCTGTCGATATCTTTATTTCCACTAGACCATTCAACATAAATTCGTTTGTGATATAGATAACATCCAACACAGTACTTATTGTTAGAACAATCGATACATTTACTACAATTATGAGTATTGTGAACTGAACACTCATTGCAGTAATCCCATCGTTTACAATCCCAACAGTTCTTAATACAATCATGAATATTGTGAACTGAACACGCTTTGCAGTATTTGTACTTATCCTTTCGACAATACCAGCATTTACTACAATCATGAGTATGAGATGCCATCTTTGAGTTGAATAGTGATGATGGCAGTGATTTATGTCCAAACGAAGATTTATATGTGGTGGAGTGGAAGTTGTTGTCGTTCACATGCGTTTTTCAAACGATTGATGCATGAAAAATGATACATACGCCCACAAGGAGCATGAAATGAAGAAAAGTAAAAATACCCACCCTCTATATATGGAAACTAACGCTTTTACACTTTTGAATAAATACGTACTGTTCTATTTCGAGATCTTTTTAGGGAAAAGCAGAAACGCCAAAACAATGAGCATCGATAATACATGTACGTATGATAAAAAAGGATGAACAAAGAAATTACCATTACTTGATATTGAATTTCTAATTGGTTCGCCGTAACCGATACCGAAATGCCTACACACATACAGTCGATTTTCGATATAACGACGTGCAGATCCTATTGTAAACAATATAAATTCAATAGAATCTGCACGTCGTTATATCGAAAGTCGACTGTACATGCGTACACGCATGGTAACATTCGAATATTTTAAAATTTTAAAATTTCTGAAAACAAAGAATAATATAAATGCTGATCATCTACTCCTTTTAAAGTTGGTAGAACTTCTACATCGGGTGTTTATCGTTATGTTCATCAAAATTCTACATCACAAATTCCGATTGTCTACCTAATTTGGGGGTTCCTTAACGATACCTCGCAATTTACGGCAGTATGTGGATTCAAATATATGCAATGCCTGCAACTCCATTCTCCTTTCGTATCCGATGAACGCTGCCCTCTGTTATTGCATCATCGACAGCAACGCTGGGTATTGTCTGTATTGCATTATCTGCATTTGAAACAAATTAATGATAGTTTAGAAACGTATTATTTTTTCTCAAGACAACAGAAAACAACGTATCAAAATCCTTCTATATATTATTTTTGAGATATAAACCAAATAAATTTTTACGAACAATAACAAAGATTTATTCTGATTGATACCTTATATTCGACCGGAAAAAAAGATTTTGCGTTCTCTTGTACATTTACACCATATTTATTTTATACTTGTAAAATACTTCAGGAACATAGCGTTCCAAAGTACTTTTCTTCACACGCTCTACACTTGATAATGTCAGCAACTACCATTGTCTCACAAGTACTGGAACCTGATATGCAATGCACATCAATCTCACCATTCTCATTTCCCGTTACGTACGTTACGACACATGTCACAAATTTGCTCGAGAATTTCCGGAGGCGCTCAGTACGTGACATTGGAATTTTTAATTGGCATTGCGGCAGAGAAACAGCATTATTGGGAAGAAAGAAAATAAGAGTCAATGTGTCACTTGCAAATTATTTTTCCTTGACCTGCATCCATAAGATCTTATGATTATTCAAATTGTAATATTTTTAATATCAATTAGAATTAGCGAACGTTCTATTAGTCTGTTCGTAATTTTAAAAATCTTACTTTGAATAATCCGCTGACTCTTTCTTATTCTATGGGAGATTGAACCTTAAACCATCTGTTTGGTGTTCCTGGAGTGGCTCATAAATCGCTGCTACAATTGCTTTTATGTCTAATGGAACATCAGGGTTAGGTTCATGCCATCAATATAAATATCCAAGCCATTGATATCCAGCAATTAATGAAGGATTTAATGTCGAAAATTCAATAATCATACTGATAAAACCAATTAATCGAATCAATAACGATCAGAGGAGTGCAGTCAATGTTGATCTCTTACTTGTTGTAATGTTACTGCACTCAGTTGACATTTAGTACAAATACCTTCTGACCAAGGTGCATGACACAGAAATCTGGTTCCTCTAGAGGTGGAATAAATTTGGCATTGGTGCCGGTCTTTTTGCATTTTTCGTAAATATGCATGAAAAGACATGTTTGATCTGATTTTCTGCTAAATAATTAGCATCGTATGACTAAATCAATAATTGAATGTAAATACAGAATTAATATTATCAAGTACGTAACAACTCAAAAAAAGATATTACTATTTACCTCTAATCTAAGCGTATTTACCTCTAAGCGCATGCAGTAATCGCACATGTCACGTATAGAATGCTTACAGCTAAACATGAAAAACCAAATTACAAAAAGCAGCAATGAATAATCAACGTGCACATACACAATTCACGTGTACAATTTTGGATCACATTCTTGCTTAATAAAGTCAGACTGTTTCTCAATGCTTATATTTGCTGGCTGTTTACCAGTGGAAACTGCTGAAGTATTTGGTTTCACTCCACCTTCAAAGTTATATATATAAGATCATTATGACTAAAAAAATACGAGTTCATGAAATCAAGAAAAACTTGACAACACATAAGGAATATTTCTATGCGTACTTTATTCCTAACTGAATGATACTTTATCTGGAAAATATTTCGCTTGTACACTATTTTACAAGTCTTTTGATATTTAAGTGTGGACAGACAAATCAAATTTGGATTGCAATCTTAGTTTTAAAAAAATAAAATTCATATTCATAGATTCATGAGTTACTTTTGCTCTCCCAATTATGAAATCTACGTAATGTGCTTTAAGATGACATAACGATAACACCAAATCTCTTCCCCTGACCATGTTATTGTATCGAGCATCCACTAAAATAGAACACGTAACATTATACATGTACATGTACATCATGCACATCAAAAAGTGTGATAAAATTAGTATAATATATCGATATATTCTGCATTTTTTGACTTATCTTTTTTTTTCTTCTTTATTCAAATAAAATTCCTCTCCTTTCCCTTCTCCTTCCCTTCTTCTTATTTTTAAATTATCCTCTTGTCCTCTCTCTTTTTTCTTCTCTTTTTCTTTTTTGGCCAATTCTTTGACACCTGGCATCCAGCATAAATATCCGATCCATATTCTCCATCAACATCCGATCCATATTCTCCATCACCTGTCATCAATATTTGGCATCAATATCTGATCCACAATAGCTATCCCTAAAAAGATCTCGAAATAGAACAGAACGTATTTATTCTAAAGTGTAGAAGCTTTAGTTTCCATATATAGAAGGTGGGCATTTTTACTCTTCTTCATTTCATGCATCTTGTGGGAATTCTGGGATGTATTCTACACAGTTAAACCTGTTAAACTGAAACATTAATTAAAACAAGTACACATCCCTACAGTATATTACTAGAAATTTATGTTGATTATTTAATAACTCATATATAAAAAATTTTATTGTATTTATTAAAAAACAAAAATTTAATAAAAAGAAACTGTTGTATATACAGTTATATTGGTTCAAATTTGAGAATCTACAAATTAATAGGATGTACTTTTTCCATTAGCTTCTAGATCAATATTCACCCATTCCTTTTGTAATAATATAGATAAAGGTCTCCTTTTTCGCAGTTGGCAGTCCAAACTATCCCACAGATGTTCAATCAGATTGAGGTCAGAACTTTGATCAGTTGAATGCTAATAAAATTGAATTTATTGATCATTCAATTCTTCGTTCTTTGTCGTTAACACTAAACGATAATAATAATTATAATTGCTTTAAAGATTTGGTTGTCAACACGTGGGTAAAAAAAAACAATTATTTTCAGTAGTAACACTTTATAATTAATTCATAATTTTGTTACTGACCCTTCGATCTTTTAATTTGACTAACGTTTACGTATAACGATAACATTAGTATTACATGTACCACTTTCAGCAACAGTATCTTTTACATACCTTTAATTTCAGTGAATTCAGTATTAGTCTCACTGAAAAAAAAGAAATTATTTTCTAATAAGATGTCATTTTGATAAAATACAGAGTCTTTAGTATAAAAGAGAAAATTAATAGTTTCAAATTTAAGTTTATTCTCTTCAGCATAATAAATTCAACTTTAAAATACAAATTAAGTTAGTTATTCATTTCACATGTATACAGTAATTGTCGTTATAACCAGTTTAAATAAATTAAGTATGAATGGTGAAGAAACAGAGTGTCATAAACAATGCGATCACAACAATTTTTTTAATAGTGATTATTATGTTTTTATACTTGATTTTTGAATTTATTTTGTTAATTCGAAAAATGAAGAGTGAAAATTTGGAAGAGATCGAGCAGGCATGCCTTTTTCTAAGAGATGTTTGTATCTGAACACTTGTTGTTTGAATATATTAAACATATAACAGCGTGTACACAATGATAATGCAAAGCACTAAATATTAAATATCAGGATATTTTAGAAATATATTATCAAGAATAAAAAATATGCAAACTCTTAGACATGTATGACACTGACATTTTTAATTTGGTGCAATTTTTCGTTTCTTTTATGGTGCATAAAATCTAAATCATTAAATGTTCGTATTTTATAAAATGTATGCTCAGAAAAGGTCTATTCTATCATATTCACAGATTAAATTTTGTATTTACTTATTAGTAAAGAAATTTATATATTTTACAAAATATAAACATTTGATTTTATGCACCATAACATCTATTTTTCGTCACTCAATTGATGTTTGGAACTAAAACTCTGTATAAATTGGGTTTGAGGTCAACCAGATCCGATAAATTCGGATCGGATCGGATCGAGTTTGATCCAAAATCGTACGTTAATAACTTTCATTTTACTAAAACGCATGTATTTTGTGTCATAAGTAGAGTTGTTCGGAATGCAATTGTGTATATATCTACAAATTTTCGTTCAATTGGAATTAATATTGAACGAGAAATAACGATTTTTAGTCTGAACCGAAATATTTCGAGTCAGGTCACGGATTTGACTCGACCTGATTTGAGCACTATTTGGAACTCAACCAACACTTCGTTTAGCATTATAAGTATTACACAAAAAATATATCATTCAACGATTCATTTTTAGCAACAAGTAATTAGATTAATCAGAAATAACTTGAAAGTTCATTTGACTATTATCAAATTAAATTCATCATAAAGATAGTAACTTTTGAATGGGATCAATTATTCGTTATTATAACCACTACATCAATTTCATTAAAATTTAAATAATACAATAAAGTTTTGTTTATAATCCAAATATATGTACATGTATATTCAAAAGTTGATATTTCTATGATATCTATAATATCTGCGTACGTATACATATACATGTATTTAATTGGTGATCACACAACGATAAGAACCAGTGAAAAATTTATTATACGTAACGGTAGTGCATAACACTTAAAAACTGAAAGCACATGACTTGATTATTTGCAACGCTTTTTATTCACATGACACATGATCAGAAAGTGGAAATTTTCTTGCATGTTTATAATTAACACAACAACTAATAAAATCAAAGATAATACAATGTAATTTGATTGGTTGAAGAATAACTTGATGCAATTTGATTGGTCAAAGAGAACGTGATACAATTTGATGGTCAAAGGGAACGTGATGTAACTTGATTGGTCGATACGAGTCACGTTTTTTAATGTCATGAAAACAGGGTATTTTTAAATCAATGCAAGTCAGGAATGGACAATATTTTTTAAAAAAAAGACCGCTAAGTTATAGTAATTGACTTAACTACAAACTGGTGGCTTCCTTTTTTTTGTATTGCCTTTGTGTAAATTACATGTATTAGTTTTCAAAGTCATCAATTTTATTTCAGTGCACTGTATTAACTTAATTTTGGTGATAATGATAACGATAACAATAATGATAATGATAACGATAACAATAATGATAACGATAACTAGCGATAATTGATTTACTTAAATTCATTTTTGGATGAATTTAATCCCCGCAAACCCTAAAGCACAATTATAACCAATAGGACACCAACACTCCTCACAAGATACATATACACCACCACCTTTCTTGGGGAAATAACATGTATATTGACAGTAACGGCCTTGGATGCCACCAACTATGTGGTTGTTGCCGTTTGAAGCGACGCTAGTCGATAATGGAGGCTGTGGAGAGGGAGCGGGCATCGCGTCAGATAAAGCGAAGAGACGAATTACCATGATCAAAACAATCCCAACAAGTTTTTTAAAGGTATTCATGTCTTGAGTTTTTTAAATTTTTGTTTGTTAAATCGAAAAGAATGAAAATTTAGAAGAGAGTGACCATTTCTTTTTATAAGAAAAGTTTGTGTCAGAGTATACAC